ACTCATCGATCTTCTCGTTCAGTTGCCTCACCCCTAGCCTGTGACAGCACAATTTCCTTCCTTTCATGCTTGGTTCCTCTTCCTACCGACCCGCCTTCATGACGACACACATGTAATACGGGGTTTCCCACTGTTGCGTTGTAACAAGAACGAGCCGTCGACGTGCAAGCTATCCGGAAGAACGAAGGTGTTCTTCCGGCAGCGCTCGGCCAGACGAACGCTCCTCTTCCCGGTGCAGCTGATGTTGAGGCCAGAGCCGGGCTGCAGGATGAACCTCCTCCCTGGTTGGACAGATGGTCGGTGGCGACAGTCCGCAGGTAACTGAAGGAGACAGGAAACATTCAGAGGAAGGAAAGGGAAAAAAAACACAATCATTTGCTGATTATTTTTTTACTCACCTGAAACCAGCGCCAACAGCAACCCCCCCAACACGACACACGTCCTCCCACCCCATCCATGACTATGGATGTTCAGGCCTGCCACGAGACAGAGAGGCGAGTTATTTAGTCAACAAGTGAGAGTAAAGTCTTTATTTTTAGTCCCGTCCCCTGATAAGATATGATACACACTGTTCCTTACCTTTTATCAACAACATAAGTATTTAATCAATAAATTCAATTTATTGAACCTTCTTGGTCTCTTCCTGTCGAGCCGGAGGCCTGTTCTGTCCGCGCCTGAGCGCTCATGGAGCGATCTGGAGAATTTTAACAGCAAAACTCTAAATGTCTGGTGATCTCACACATCAATTATACAGGCACGGACAGGACGGCTTGGGTCAGCGGGGGGGTGCGGGGGGCGTGGGCGGGGGGGGGGGTGACCAGGCCTGCCTGTCCGAGGGTCTGCCGGTAGGGGCGACACCACTCCCTTTTTGGAGTCACCAGCCTCCTCGGGTCCATCACCTACACGTTTTAACGCTCGCTTTTCTAAAGTCTTTTGTTTTTCCCGTTTCAACTGAGGAAGAAAAAAAAAAAGAAAAAGACGTTTTTCGTGTTTTGATGGCAGAGAAATTAGAAGTGTTTTTGAGTCTCAAATCCTGTTTGAATCGTTGGTTTTGTTGCTCGGACCAACACGCGGTCTCGCTATGAAAACGAATTATCCTAAGATGTGGACTCTTAAATGCTACCTCATCCTTTCACCTTTGCCACACCGTCCTCAGCTCTCAGACCACTCCCCCTCGCACTTTTCACATCCATCGGCTTCCTCCTCCTCCCTTTTCGCTCCTGCTCTTCGTGAGCATGCAAAGTGTACAAATACTTATCTAAATTCTAGGCTTATTTCCACTGCTGAACGATCATCTGCATCTAGCATTTGGTTTGATTATTTATTACATATACCATTTATCAAAGATAATTAGACTTATAGAAACATGGCTCTATAATCATCATTGTGGTGAGTACTCGCGTTCTTTCGGTTTGAAAATGTGGTCTAGTTTGTTCTATCTATTTCTAGCTCTTGTTTCTCTACGACCTCGTCGACCTCCTCTTCCCCCCTCTCCTCTCATCCTCCCTCCCCCCTCCTCCATCTGTGGAATCTCCTCACGTCTCTCCTCCTTGCTCTCTCGCCTTGTCTCTTCGCTCCCCAATCTTCACCTCTATACAATTGCGTCCTCCTTTTTGTGTACATATGTCCTACCCCTGTCTGTGCTTTGGTCTCTCGCCTCCACTTTGGCTCCTCTCACCTCAGCGCACCACGCCGGCCTCTACATGTGAGATGCTTGAGTAACCGTGTCAGGGTAATTCCGGGTATATAGCTTACATATCCATAGTGGCCATCTGATTGTGAGATGGGATCGGCACGCCTCCTAGAGCAGAAGGCTAACTAGGTTGGGATTCGTCGCGCGTTAGCGAGTATGCTAGTACATCATAGCTGACAACACGCCATAATCCGTTGTTGCAGCGACGTAGTAGTCTTGATGCACTACACAAGCCATCATTTCAGTCCCAACAATTAGTCAAGTTTTTGACTTTTGTGTGTGTATATTGTCCGTGCTCCGTGTGTTGTTTAACAACCAGGATTGCATGGTCTGGAGACAAACTGATGCTGCGATTTGGGAGAGAGATTCTCCAGCCAGGCTGCGACTGTAAACTAGATTAGGACACAAAGGATAGATAGTAGCAGTTCACTCATGCACGGGTGATCAATTTCGACTCCCTAGCTCTATCTCTCTCATACTCTCACCGCGCCTTCTCCCCATGTCTCTCTCTATCACCTCACCCAATCCTCCTCCTCCTCACACACCTCTCTTCCTCTCTCTCTCAGCCACTCTGAACAAATGTGGCAGATATACCACAACAGCATACTGCGAACACTCAGATTTGAGCGAAACCACACAGATCAACAAGGCCTCTCGACTTCAGCTCAACTTTCTGGCAAAGATGGCTCACCAGCGCTCTAACTTGGGTCGGGAGGCAATGAGTCTAATGCTTATGTGGCTTGGTATTGACCTCAGGAGGTACACCGCGATTGCTGAGAAGGGTGTGAAGGCCATGACAATACGCCAATTAATAAAGAAAAAAACAAAAACGCAAAAGAAAAAGAGTTCTCGGACGACTCTCTTTCTGTGTTTTATACTTATTTTGAGGCAGTATTCAGTTTTAAAGCAGGGAGTAATGTGCCAGTAGCTAGAACCTTGCAAGTCCAGCTTAGACCTATATCGCAAATAGGTGCTAAAAAGGGTCTATTTTCAAGTCATGAGCACACAAGGTTTCACCTCCAGGAACTTTCACAACAGACTCCATCTAGCACTATGTAGTGTGTTGGTGTGATGTGTGTGTGTGGTGTGTTGACTGTGTGTGATGTGTGTGTTGATGGCTGTTGTGTGGGTTGGGTGTTGTATGTTAGGGGCTGGAAATGTTTGTAGCAAAGTTGTCAGAAGAGTTTTGAATTCACAAATAGGAAATTATGCAATATTTTGAGTTCGTGACAATCCCACTGTCGAAATTCACTGTGTGTGTGTGTGATGAACATACAGAGTCGCAGCCGTTAGTGTGTAGTGGTGTGATGGCAGCTGACATGTTGATTCAGAGTCCATCAGAAGAGCAACAGGCCCTTATTAATACATGACAACGGGGGGGGGCGGGGCGGGGGGGAACGTTTAGAGACGGGCAGGTCAGGCAGGAAGTGTAGACTGACGGCCAGCTGGTGGCAGGGAGCCTGAACGGGGGAGGGCCATGAGAGAAGCTGTACTCTTTCCCTCTTGGGGAGAGTTGAACTAGACATCCCTCTGTGCTCTTGAACACCTTTCCCCACCCACCGTCCCCCCACCTTCTGGTGCGTCGTTGTATTTGTAAGTTTTACGTTGGCGCGGTCAGCAGACTCAGCTCCAGGTTCGCGCGCGTGCAAAGTGAAGAAGATGGGGGTGTTGGTTGCTGAAGTTTTTGCCTGAAGCATCATCCTTGTGAGTCACGGCTACGCATATGATTTCTCCGTTGTGGGTGTAAGTCTGGCCGCCACTCCTTGGTGACGCCAGCAGAGGTGGGTGGTTAATGAAGAATGCGTCGTGGCTCGCCAAAACACACTCGTCCTTCTTCCCCCCCTCATCTCTCTCTCTCCCTCCCTCCTTGACATCCCATTCCAGACTTCTTGCATCTCCCAGCCGCGTTAAGTTAATTTTCTCTATTCCTTCTAAATTTCTCTCAAGTGTCCTGTCCGGAACAGAAACAGAAAACAATGTGCAGGAAGTGGTACAAATTTCGCAAATGAGTGTTTAGCCACAATCTGTGGTGTTAATATTGACCCAGCTCTGAATCCAGAATCACCGCGTGGAGAGAGAACTTCTCATCCAATCCGTGGAGCTGGAACGGACCAGTTTGTGCTTTAAAAGAGGGCTCTCACGAAATATCTGTCTGTGGTCAGGTCCCGAAAATCGTTCCTTCACCATTCACTCTTTTATCCAGCGGAGGTCAGCGGAGCAGTCTTCTGCCCGCAGGATTTTAGAGAACAATGTTCAGATCACGCGCTACAAGGCGCCTGGTGGTCCAGCGTGCTCGTGGGGGCGTGGGTTGTGTGGGGGGAGTGGGACATTCACTCTCATATGGAATAGGTCATGCAATTCGTTGCTGGCATCGCAATCTTGTTTTTCATCAATGCCTTGTTCACTTTCTCAAGGGAGTAAATCCTAGAATGTAGGCTATTGCACTATAAATGCAAGAAGTTGCACGTTTACCTTTAGATGAATTAAACTAATTACTTAGAAACTTTTCCGACACCAGTACCCTGATGTTAAAATAAAAAAGCGAGGCACAGCGACCCAACGCTGTGATCTAATAATTGGTTAAATACATTAAGAGCGCAATTAAAACTCCCACTGAGACTTTCCAAAGGGAATGATTCCATCATAGATTCTTCAAAACAAAAACACCCAAAACTTTTTTTTTTTTTTTTTTTTTTTTAAAGACTAAAAAAAAAAAAAAAACAATACTCGTTTCAGTCATCTTTCATTTACCTCTGATAATCCCCTCTTTATATTCTCCCTCTGTGTCAGTAATATCCCACAGTGAATCGGGGGCTCCAGAGCGCAGTCGGCTCCCATCTGCAGCGAGCGCTAATCCTCAAGAGATCCTGCGCTGTGAGAGCATATGTGCGCCCTCTGTCCGGTCCGACCTCGACTCCGTCGACGCCCCCTCAAACTGCGCTCCGGCTAGCAGCGAAGGACCTGTAACTGATTCAATGTTACAGTCTCTCCTCCTCCCCCCTCCTCCCCCTCACTCCTCCCCTCCCTCCTCCCGAAAAAAATAAGTAATCATCTGGCTCAAAGTAAATAACTCTACTAAGGAAATGACACCACCCATCATCCTCTCGTCTCTCCAACTCTCCCCTCTCTCTCTCATCTCTCTCTCTCTCCCTTTCTAGACCCCTTTTTTCAAAGTA